GGATTCGTCTGAAAGAAAAAAGTCATATACACCTAGGATTACTTGAGGGTGAGTAATTTATGGACTAATTTAAATTTTTGGGTGAACTAACCCTTTAATAATTTTCTAATCAAAATAACAAAATATGTATCCCAGTGATGATAAAAAAAACTGAAAAATAACTGAAATTGGATTAATTTTATGATTCTGTCGCTGCATGAACATATCAGTTTGCTTTCTCATGTCACTCATGTAGCTTTAAATATGCATAAAAGCAGCCAGCTGGATATAAACTATTGCAAATAGATGGTAACAATTGTGACATTAAACATTATTTTTGTCACATTCTTTCAAACACTTGAAGGTACTGCTAATGTTAGCGCCCTTTTAGCTTTGACCGTAAACATACTGTTGTTCTCCACTAGTACAGCATCAGGTCAACTAATTAATTACTTTATAATGATATGTACGTAAACATGTATGATAGTGTATAGTGTATATACAATTTCGTTCACCGTTTTAAATCGGCATCTGAAATTTCACATGTCAAAACAAACAGCTGGAGGCGTCAGTAATTCCATCTCTAGAGTCCGCTCTTGTACTGTATAATGACAGCAGACCTTCTCTGCCACTCCAGCAACAGATGCAACCCAGAAAAACATCTGTATCTTTGCCGATAACCGATTGTTCCAGCAACTAGCTATCGGTGCTGATTAATCTGCAGAACCAATCAAACAGTCAACCTCTAATAGGGAGAATGAAATAAAGGGATAGTTTACCCCACCCAAATTTTCATTCACTCAGCCTCATGTCTTTACAAACCCATAAGTCTTTCGTTCATGTTCTGAACACAAATGAAGATATTTTTAATATTCTCTTATCAATTTAAAAGTCGAAAAATTTCATAAACATTATTCAGTGTGTATACAGAAGCAAACAAACCTCATTGGTTCTCATGTCAAGCATGCTTTTGAGTTTAAGTTTACCGTATTTGATGTGCTCCATGTATGTTCATTGCTCAGTGTTTATGTCTTAGTCATTTCTCATTTATTCTTAATCCATGATTGTGACAGGCGTCCAACTGAAGACAGCTACATTTCAGCTAAAACAGTAGATAAAAATCGAGATATTTCAAATTAGTGGGATGCACTGCGTACCTGTCTTATGTGATTATGGCGCACATTAGTTGTGGCAGTATTTCGACAACCATAAGCAATGTTGCAACATTTATTTCTGTCCAGACCTGGGTAACTTTTTTGATTGAAAACTTGCATTGATGACAGTCAAATCACTCCATAAAGTCTTCCTGAGAACATCCCAAAGTATTTGTGTGCAGTCAGAGCTGGGTAGTATCTGATTACATGTAATTTGGATTATGCAATTAGATTCCAAAACTGAAATACTTGTAATTAGATTCAATTACATTTTAAAATAAAAAATTTAATTAAATGAAAAATATTCATTAGCCCACTGATCACTTGATTTTTACAAAAAATCATTTAAGTTTTAAGAAGTGTTTTCTTAGCATTTCAACATTACATCAACTACTGATGAACATGCAGAGGGTTATTTAATCATGCATTACTTTGCCTTTGGAAGGCTTTTGTCTTTCAAAAACATTAAAATGCATTGCATGTAAATAACAAATAATGCAGGGATTGCTGAACTTTTTTTTTTGTCAGTCAAACCTCTTTCACCTAATATATTTACTTAAAGTACCCCTGAGAAATTTAAATCAATATTTTAATAATTAAGTATCATATTTGCATGTCCACAGTTCTCTGACGTTGGTTAATGGTCACATGACATGCAGGTAAACAAATAAAATATTTACATTTTTTAGTAAGTGTTTTCTTTTGATTGATGTTATTTTAAAATTATTAATTTTAATGTTACATTTTTATGATTGGATTCATTATTTGCTTTTCATTAAACTCGCAAACCCCCTGCAGTTCGTTTACGAATGCCAGTTTGGGAAACCTTGACATAATGTAATGTTTAATGCACTTCATGTTGTCAGTAACAACAAATGGGATATATTTTCTTTTTCTTTGCATTTTATGTAGATATGCACATCAGCTATACAGACGTTAATACTGAAAGTTTAACATTATATTCATTGCATACATATACTTCGTAGACATCCTTAATCTCTTATAACTCCATTCTGCTCTCTGTTGTTCTGTTGTCGGTGTTTCTTTGTCTGAATATGGCACTGATCACATGCTGTGTGGTATCGGCATTTGGTATCGGGGCATTTTAATGAGTATGAGTACAGAAGCTCAGTATCGGGCCCGATACTGATACCAGTATCGTTATCGGTGCATCCAGATATGGTACAAGATTATCCTATTTAAATCAATGTGATAAATGAGTTAGGTCAAAAGTAATCAAACAGTAGTCTGATTATATTACCTAAAATGTGTAATGAAATGGATTACGTTACTAACTTCAATTTGTGTCATGTAATTTGGAATCAGTAATGGATATCAATTTGTAACTAATCTACCCAGCTCTGCATGCGTTAAGGTCGGGATTCTGTGGTGCCCAGTTCATGTGTAGAAATGATTCATTGTTCTCCCTGAACCACTCTTTAACAATTTGAGCCAGATGAATTTTGGCACTGTCGTCTTAATATGTGAGTGTTGTCATTGGATGGTCATTCAGTACTCAGCTGACTTCATTTTACTGCCACGTAACATTGCAGAGACTAGACCTGACCAATGCTTCATAGTCAATTCTTTAGGCTCCCTAGAAAAATTAATTCAAGCATTTTGGTGATCATGGTCATTCAAGATATTTTTTTTGCTGATTAAAGTTCTTTCTTGATGTTTATAATAGGGATGCACGATACCATTTTTTCACAACCGATCCGATCCCGATCCAGTGTGGTGACCTGAACATCACTATTTTGTGTGTTAAACACAATCTACTAAATATAGACAACTTAATTTTAAAGAAAAATAACAAAATGAAAAAAATATATAATCATAATCTATGACAAAAATACTATTATAACCTAGTGGATAATTCAGCAGCAAAAGTTATTCTTGAAAAATTAGTGCACAATTTTATCAAATCTAAACATTTAGTGAAATAACATTTATTTAGTGGGGAACAAATAAAAGTGAATGTGTATGACTAAATCTGGTAAAATGTTACATTGCTCTTTGTATTGTTGTAAAATACATTCATGAAAAACATTTATATATAAATATATACTATAAAATTAAAAGATATTTATTTTAAATGTAAGGCACAGTAATGGAGGCAGCAACATATGATGGATAGGACAGAAAAATAAAGGCTATTAATAATCTTTAATTGCACAAAAGTATTATAATATGAAAGGCTCCAATACAGAGCGGCACAAAGCACTTATGCACATCCCCTGCACAGAATGATGTGCTTGAAGCAACACGGAGACACAGCGCACAGCACTCCACATAGAAAGCACAAAGCGAAGAGATCTCTATGCTTAGTATATTATATCTGTGCGATAGTTTGAGCCTTTTCTTTTAACAGTTTTACATTTCATTTACTGTGCTCTTGGAGAGAGTTTCATCGTCTTGACTGTCGTAACCGAATGCATCACGCAGTTTGAATGGAGGATGACAGACAACCGCAACGGAGAGAAGAGAAGAATTTAACGACTTAAATACTTATCTGTACCTCACATTAAACAATGGAACACTTGTAATATAGAGCTTGAAAACTTTATAGTGCTTTAATGTTTTTTGTGCCTTTCGTGGGGCTTAACAATAACACAGAATAGTATACGCACAATGTCGGATTTGGATCGATCTCGTTCGACCAATACCCAATCCGACAGAAAATGCCAGTATCGGAGCCGATACCGGTACTGAGTATCCAGTGCTGATCCTAGACTCCTGGGGGCCCTACACAAAACTGTATCGGCGGGAGGGTTGGGGCGGTGGAGTGGGGTATGAGTGGTTATGAACGAATTAATGAAACTCATTGGTCCGTGTTTCACGCTGTCTCAAATCGCGCATGAGGCGCAGTTCGGTACGCTTTCAACTTGTTTTGTTTTTTTTAGTCTCGCGCAAGACTGTAAGACATTCACATTACATGATTTGACAGATTTTTACGTTGAAAGGGCAACAGTGCACCACATTAAAAGAAAAGACCATTCATGTTTTCATAACCGCTGGCCAAATTCAAAAACAAAACTAAAATTAAATCATCTTTGAGAGCAAAGGGCCCCCTGGTGTTTCGGGGGCCCTTCGCAGCTTGCGTATTTTGCGTATAGGGAGGATCGGCTCTGTGAGTATCGGATCGGTACATCCCTAGTTTATAGTGAACCAAAAGGTGACCCACCTTCTAGGTTATAATAATGCATTGGGCAGTTCTTTACCAAATTTCAGTGATCTCACTAGTTGATGCAGGCCAATATTTTGCCCCTTCTGAAAACCAGTAACATCATAACCACAGGGATACATCTTCTGACAAGATTAATTTTCTAAAAGTTCTAAAGGTTTCCAATTTTTTACAGTGTTTAATTACTTCTGTGGACCACATTGTCTGGTGATAGTTAGCCTAGTGTTTGCGTGTGGATTTGTGAGGGTCTGTTTATCATTCTTATCGTTTTCTTCCCTACAGAAAATGCTGTTTGGATACTAAGGGGGAAAAACATACTTAAGGGGAGAACATTTTTTAAATATCTTCATTTGTGTTCTGAAGATAACGGAATATTAGGAGGTTGAATAAATGGTTACAGAATTTTCATTTTTGTGTGAATTAACCCTTTAAAAAGTTTTTGTTTTTAATTGAAAGAACTAATAATGCCATCTGATATGATTACTTGCTATATCTTACCCAATGCATTCACTTTTTTTTTGTATTCTTTTCTTTTCACATTTTTTAGTATTCAGCTAAAGGTGATTGTGCTGGATGTTGGATTTTAGTAGAGCATGTGTTCTGTAACTTGGCAATTGCAACAATTACACATCTTTCCAGGTCATTCTTTCTTCTAAGTCCTGTTTACCCCTCTTTCAATGCAGATGAGAGACCTAAAGAAGTGGGGCTTAAAAAAGACAGAGGTACTTAGCATGAGTTATGGAGTTAGTAGCATAATAAATTAGCTTCAGTAATGCTCAAAAAATAATTTTTAAATCACGATATACTCACCCTCATGTTGTTCCAAAACCTGCATGACGTTTTTTTTCTGCAGAACACATGATGCATATGTTTCTGTGTATATATACATACAAATTCTGTGTGTGTGTGTAAGGGACATCAGTTGCACAACAATGCGACTTCATCAGATTAGGGCTGTCGCGGTGAAGGAATTTCCCTTGCGGTAATTTTGAGTGGCTCAATAGCCAATGTATTATCAGTATTATGCAGTATATTATAATTTAAAAACTGCATTATGTGCAGTTTACATGTTTGCATACAATTATTATTATTTTTTTTAAGTTGAGTGTTGATCATCTATTTTAAAATAAATAGTAATTCAATTTAAGTTTGGGTTAAGTTGTTAGGCCTAATTGTAACCTTATAATGTAAAAGGGCTCCCTATAGTTTTAAGCATAAACTGAGGTAGATTTTTATCACTAAGAACATTTAAACTATAACTGAATGTATTTAAAGAAAGAGCAACTTGTTCAGTAAACCATTTAAAAAAAAAAAGTTTTTCCCCCTGCTGTACCGAAATCATACCGAACCGTGACGTTAAAACCGAGGTACGTACCGAACCGTCATATTTGTGTACCGTTACACTCCTAATATATATATATATATATATAAAAAATTTGTGTGTATGTTACGATATAACAAGGTCATATTCAGAAACCGAAACCAAATAGCGTTGAAACAGGAAGTGAAGTAAACAGAAGAGAATGACAAAATAACGATCCACATAACAGAACATAAACCTGACAATAAGATTGTTAGGCTATTGTTTGCCTATATGTATAACAGTTCATTCTGATCCTCGAATCTGACTGGACAAGAGACTTTCTATTGATATTTCCAACTGCGCGTGTTCTAGACGGGCTGTCAGTCAGTGCAGTTACAGTGTTGCGCCTCAAGGTGGTGGAAAGGGACTGTCTTTGAGTGAGTCTTTAAACCATTCATTCAACTACACGTTCAAAAATGCTGATTCATTCAAAGAGAGACAAAATAAAAAACGCTGTTGAAATCATTTTAACTTTGACCGCCATGTTAGAAGGCTCAGCTGACCAATACGTCGATGCCAAGACAGAGATTTGGCTTTCCTTGAACATGACAACCTATTTTAACAAATATATGACTCGCAAGTAATCGCACATTCTCAGTTGATCTCTCTCTCATTCGTTGTCTGTTTAGGCTTAAGTGCAAATATACGGAGCCTCAGTACAAATCAGCATGGTACACGTTGTTATCATTACAAACTTATTTAATATTCAGTACACATGCACAAAGTGTAAAACGAGAAGGGCATAACCCTTTGAAAAAATAAAACACGCAAAAATTGCGGTTCTTGCATTCCTATGCGGTTTGCTCTTCAATAGCGTGTATTGCGATATTGCGGTTATCGCGACAGCCCTTCATCAGATTCATGAATGAAAACAATTGGAGTCTTTGTATTTCAAACTATCACTTAATCAATAAATCATTAAAACCGTACAGAGTGACTTGAACTAAAATTACTGATAGCTTGCAAGTTTATTCTTAAAATTGACAAATAAACTGAACCTCATTAAAAATAAATCCTAATTCTAAACGAAAGAACTGAATGTGAATTTTCCTTTCTCATGAATTATAGACAGTAAGACACACACTCAATCTAATAATATGTGTGTTTGCATGGGACATGGGAATGATGAGCCTTCTGAGATGTGAATTTTTGTCCCACTCATTCTCAGAACATCCTACCAGGGATATTGGGCAAAAGCTGAAAGCAGCTCTGAAGGAGCAGCTACGAATTATTCATGAGAAGATTGAAGCCAAAAAGATTGCCAAACTAGCCCTTGCTGAGGTCCGTAGTGTTTTGGCTCAGGAGGAAGAGGAGAGACAAGCTGCTCTTGCTGCCAAAAAAGTCAAAGAAGAGGCAGAAGCTAAGCTTCAAGAGGAACGAATACAAAGAGAACAAGAGGAGAAACTAGCCAAGGAGAAAGCAGAAAAAGAAGAGATGGAGAAAGAGAAAGCAGAAAAGGAAAGACTGGCTAAAGAAAAAGCAGAAAATGAAAGACTGGCCAAAGAAAAAGCAGATAAAGAAAGGGCAGAAAAGGAAAAACTTGAAAAAGAAAAAATGGCTAAAGAAAAGGCAGAAAAAGAAAGATTGGAGAAAGAGAAAGCAGAGAAAGAAAGACTGGAGAAAGAGAAAGCAGAAAAAGAAAGACTGGAGAAAGAGAAAGCAGAAAAAGAAAGACTGGCTAAAGAAAAGGCAGAAAAAGAGAGACTTGAGAAACAAAAGGCAGAAAAAGAGAGACTTGAGAAACAAAAGGCAGAAAAAGAAAGACTGGCTAAAGAAAAAGCAGAAAAAGAAAGACTGGCTAAAGAAAAGGCAGAAAAGGAGAAATTCTCTAAAGAAAAAGTGGAAAAAGAAAGACTTCAGAAAGAAAAGGCAGAAAAAGAGAAAGTCTCTAAAGAAAAAGCAGAAAAAGAAAGACTGGAAAAAGAGAAAGCAGAAAAAGAAAGACTGGCCAAAGAAAAGGCAGAAAAAGAGAGATTTGCTAAAGAAAAAGCAGAAAAAGAAAGACTGGAAAAAGAGAAAGCAGAAAAAGAAAGACTGGCCAAAGAAAAGGCAGAAAAAGAGAGATTTGCTAAAGAAAAAGCAGAAAAAGAAAGACTGGAAAAAGAGAAAGCAGAAAAAGAAAGACTGGCCAAAGAAAAGGCAGAAAAAGAGAGATTTGCTAAAGAAAAAGCAGAAAAAGAAAGACTGGAAAAAGAGAAAGCAGAAAAAGAAAGACTGGCCAAAGAAAAGGCAGAAAAAGAGAGAATTACTAAAGAAAAAGCAGAAAAAGAAAGACTGGAAAAAGAGAAAGCAGAAAAAGAAAGACTGGCCAAAGAAAAGGCAGAGAAAGAGAGACTTGCTAAAGAAAATGTGGAAAAAGAAAGACTGGAGAAAGAGAAATTGGAAAAAGAAAGACTGGTCAAAGAGAAAGCAGAAAAAGAGAGACTTGCTAAAGAAAAAGCGGAAAAAGAAAGACTGGAGAAAGAAAAGGCAGAAAAAGAGAGACTTGCTAAAGAAAAAGCAGAAAAAGAAAGACTTGAGAAAGAAAAGGCAGAAAAAGAAAGACTTGAGAAAGAAAAGGCAGAAAAAGAGAGACTTGCTAAAGAAAAAGCAGAAAAAGAAAGACTTGAGAAAGAAAAGGCAGAAAAAGAGAGACTTGCTAAAGAAAAAGCAGAAAAAGAAAGACTTGAGAAAGAAAAGGCAGAAAAAGAAAGACTTGAGAAAGAAAAGGCAGAAAAAGAGAGACTTGCTAAAGAAAAAGCAGAAAAAGAAAGACTTGAGAAAGAAAAGGCAGAAAAAGAAAGACTTGAGAAAGAAAAGGCAGAAAAAGAGAGACTCGCTAAAGAAAAAGCAGAAAAAGAAAGACTGGCCAAAGAAAAAGCAGAAAAAGAGAGGCTCAATAAAGAAAAAGCAGAAAAGCAAAGACTGGAGAAAGAGAAAGAGAAAGCAGAGAAAGAAAGGCTTAACAAAATAAAAGAGAGTGCACCAAAGGGGCAAATAGAGAAAGATGTAAAGGAGAAAAAAGAAAATGTGAACAATTACAAACAAGAAAAAGAGGCACATTTAAATAAAAAAACGCATGGCCAAAAAGTTGACCAATCAGAAAATGAAAAAGACGAGAAACTGTCTACTCGTGGTTTACTTAAATCTTCAAAAAAAAATATCAAGAAATAATAGTAAACTGACATAACCGTGAGATTTGATTGGAAATAAAAACTCCTAAGGTGTTTACTAGGAACAGCGCTGCAAAGTAAATAACTAAAAGTAGCGTGACTACTAACTGTTTTTAGTGACAGTGGCAGCTGTTCAAAATGGTAGCAAGCTACTTTTTAACTAGTCGTGTAGTAAAACAAAACACTACATTGCTGTTGGCATGGTACAGCTGAGTGAAGGAGGTAATAACCCATCTGTCAACTCACTGTGTTGGGAGGTTTGACTCAGTGAATCAGTTTGCGTGGATGTTTCATGTAAATAAATGATTTCTGATTTCTTAGATCCAACAAACCAGCGGTTTTCAACCCTGTTCCTGTGGCCCTCTCCAACCGTTCACATTTTGCATTTCTCCTTAATCAAACCCCCCTGATTCACGTCATCACCTCATTAGTAGAGACCCCAAGATCTGAAATGGGACACATTCAAAATGTGCAGTGTTGGGGGGACTCCAGGACAGAGTCGAAAACCTCTGCAATAAGTGACTTAGCTTGCACAGAAGTGAGTTATATAAATTAGCATGTTTTAATAATTTTACCCTGTGAATATTTTTTTATATTTTATTATACTCTTTGTTTTCAGCCAGATAAAAAAAACTTGCTATTTGCGGAAGTAAATATCAATTGAAACTTATATATTTATAAATGTCATACTCTTAGCTTCAATGTAGTTAGAAGCTTTTTGTTTGTAGCTTGTACTGTTGCTAACTACTTTTTTAAGGATATCTTGACTGTACACTAATTAGGGCTCCTTTACACATGACATTAATCTGTTTTTGAGGATCAAATCACAATTTTGAGGATCAAATAACAATTAAAATCCAGGTGAAGTAAAAAGAAGTTACAGGTATGTGAGAGCCAGAAATCTTGCTTGTTTGTAGGTGACCAAATACTTATTTTACCGAGGAATTTACCAATTAATTCTTTAAAAATCCTACAATGTGATTTTCTGGATTTTTTTTTCTCATTTTGTCTCTCATAGTTGAGGTATAGCCATGATGAAAATTACAGGCCTCTCTCATCTTTTTAAGTGGGAGAACTTGCACAATTGGTGGCGGACTAAATACTTTTTTGCCCCACTGTATATATATATTTGTTTCCCCTTATTTAAATGTTATTTGGTCTGATTAATACATGGTCAATTTTACTCATTTGTGTGTGCGTTGATAAGATGAGTTTATTTGTATTCTTAACAACCCAAGATTAATAGACTTTTTATTTAAAGTAATGCTGTATGATAGATAGCAATACTTTAATTTATTATGGTACTTTTTGTAGAATTCCATTGCAGAAATAGGCCTAAACTTTGTCCTTGAGAGAAGTTTTTTTTTTCTTTCTTTCTTTCTTTTCTCTTGTTGGGAATGTGTCTGATTTTACTCAACATTCATACAGGTCTGACTGAGAAGCCTGTTATGGTGGCATCACCCGAGAACCCCTTAGGGGAAAAAGGTAAGTAAATGATAGAAGCAATTCTTCATGCCATGACATCATGACATCCTTGACATGACATGAAACATCTAGTGTCAGACAGATGGTATCTGTGCACCTCAGTAGAAGTGCATATTTGGAACCATCCAAGTTTGGGGTCTGCAAGACGTCTCTGATGTCCATTCACTTTTACGCAAAAAAGGGGGGAAAAAATCTGTGCAAAACCAGGGTTCTGGCACACTATTGGCAGAAATGTCAACTGAACATAATTTTGGCGATGGAATTGATGCAACGTTGTTAGGGGAAGATTACTATTGCAGATCATTTTTGACATCTTGCAATGAAAATAACATCTTGTTTCTCAAGATACACAAATGTCATTATGGTCTATGAAACTCATGGCAAATATAATTGATACACTGCATGGCTGTAGATTCTATTTACACTGTTAAAATGGCAATATTTGAGCATGTTGAATAGCACTAATTAAAAAAAGAATGCATTGCATTAGCAGTGCTTGCATTTTAATGCCTTGTATTTCCAGGGCTTGCATTTTTAGGTCCTGAAATCTAACATAGTTGTTGATTTAAGCTGTGAATATTTCAATTCAAAATATTTCACACACATTTTCATAATTAAAAATTCAATAATTCATATTCACCCAGAATTCACTTCCAAAATATTCAATCTGTTTAAAAATATGATGTATAATATTCGACAGGCAAATTTTGGTCCATTGTATTTCACTTTCCAAATTCGCTTCCACAAATTCGGTGGTTCAAATTCGGCAGAAAATTTACCATTGCACATCCGAGAGCTGCAGGAATAGCAGTAGAGCACCGATGCATGATCTCCAGCTGCTGTCAATCGCTCACCAGCAGGTGGCGCAAGCGGCTGTTGATGAAGACCAAAGCAACAGGTGAATCAAATCATTCATTCACAAAAAGTGATCTGCAGAAATGGAGCCAGCGCTAAGTAGAAGTTTTGATTATCGGGGCCAGTATAAACATGTGGAAAAGCTCATTGTGTGTATGTTTAATTCAACATCTTCGCTGTTTCCCGTAGCCTACATGTAAGCAGCTTTCTCTACCACAAAGGAGATTATAATGCTATTTTACCCAACGCTGAAGTACAGAACTAACAACATCTGAGGAAGACACATATTGCTTTCGGTTGCTTAGTTTCCATAACTTTGTATCATGGCATGAGGATATAAACGCAAGTTACGGAACGCGCACAACTGCACGTTAAACATTTCCCATAAAAAAAACACTTAACGTGTTTTATTGCCTCAAGACAGTGATAATAAATTATTAAATTTGGCATCTAATTAATCAAATATATTACTGTATACTATGTACATTTAAGCAGATGAGCCCATAATATGAGCCCACAACCCACAAAATTTCACCAAACCATTTTTTCTCCCATAGAAAACCAAGCG